ATGCTATGCCTCGCACACCATGGTAGCACCTGAGGAGGAGAATATACGGGAGTGGAAGCAAAAGGCTCCGAGGAAGGTCGAAAATGCATGCGAGTTGCTGGCCATTACACCAAGATTCAGCCACGCATGCGCAGCTAAACCTAGCGAACTTGCCGTATGCATGCGCGTGAAGGAGGGAGTAGAAGCAAACACCATGGACTACTTGCCTTCCATCGTCAAAACACAGCGTACGAGCAGCACACGAAGCGGCAACGAAGGGGGAGGGGAGAGAGAGGAGGAAGCGTCCGTGAACTAGAGAGGGTGATACAAACAGAAGGGAGTAAAAGCAGGCAAAAAGGTTATGACCTGGGCTGCTGCTCTACCTCGGCTGCTATTGTTGCCAGTTGTGGTAGTTGTAATGGTAGCGACGTCGCTGGGGTGAAAAACCAAATAAAATATTCGCCAGACATGTACAAACCAGAGAGGTCTCGCTTTGTGAAGAGCGCGATGGACTACTTTTGCCTTGCTCTGCCACCCCTCCAATGTGTACACGCACGTATGTACATCAAGTGCGCGCCAGGCAGTCGAGAGAGACCCCAATCACAGCGCGCCCACACCCCTCACAAAAGTAGGAGGGAGGAAGCTGCCGGGCCTCCCCTCTATCATACACATGTATACGTACACGCACTTTCTTTCTTCTCTATATCCTTTGCCTTCTCGGCTGGCTATACCCGACCTGACGGCCAAGGGTTCAACAACATCAAGCGTTGATCCATTTGACGCGATATGCGTATATACGAAGAGTCCTCAAATATCACAATGCTAGTTAAAGATGAAGCTGGGATTCAAAATTGGGGAATGGCCTGGAGTGTAGGAGGTACATCCCCTACGAGATTATTTTCGCCTTCGCCCTCTAAATCATTTGTTCGAGCGATAGAGGGAGGTGGATATTTATGAGTATACAAATGCGATGTGCCAGGGAGAAAGGTGGTGGGTGCTTAGTGTAGCCAGAGGGGAAGATGCAGGGGGAGTGCAGGCTGGATGCCACCTAGGTCGAGGGGGGAGACGTGGTGCGAACGTAATAAAGAGGAGGTAGATATGCCGTGATGACGATGGAGATGATGATGATGATGATGATGTTTGCGATGGTAAGTAGGTGTTGTGGTATAGTAAATCTATTGGTACTCGCCCAGACGGTCCCTGAACGCGTACAAGTCGTGTATAATGCTGGTCCAGGGAATGCTGACAAAAGTCATGCAGCACTGGATCGACTTGGGAGGCGGCGGTGGCGCCGCAGCTTGGGCAAAGTTGCCCGCAATGGCTTGCAGAGACCACTTTTTGAACCACCCGGACAGGAGCGGTGTCGATGTTGCCTGGTTGAGCCGAGGCGACAGCCTCGACTTGGCGGCGTTAGGGTCGGCTGGACTAGTTCTCGATTCGGCCAGCGGCCTTGGCGACGTATAGTGCTGATGTGCTTGGAGGGATGCGAGGGACCGGGGCGGCTGTACCGATGATTCCTTCTCAGGCGGATTGGGTTGGAATGGGTCGGATTTCCGGCGCGAAGACGATGACACCAGCACGACTTTCCTGCACTTGGGGTCTGGGGATGTTACCATCGCCTCGCTGTTGCTGCTGGCATCATCACTGGGGCGTTGTGGTACATCCTCATGAGCGTGCTGCATACCCGTGACAGCGACCTGTGCGTAGCCCTTGCCGCTGGGTCCGCGCATCATAATGTATTCGGTGGGGTACACTGGCTTGCGTAACCGGCTCAGCAAGTTCTTGGGCCTGATTCGCGTGAAGTAGTTGTCCATTAGTGCCGAGTACGAGGCTGCGCCCTGGAAGAGCACGACCTTGGTGCCCCTTGCGCTGTGACGATGCGAAGTGCCAGTGGAATAGGTGGATCGTGCGGACCCCAAGCGACTCTTAGCCGAGTTAAGCCGACTGCCGGTATTGCTGAAGCTATTGGGCGCGCTGGGACGATCATACCACATCCCGCGCTTCTCGTCGAACAGGTCAAGCCTATCGCTTAGCTTGTTACTAATGGGAGGCGACGTGAACGATGACGGCACCGACGCGTCTGTGGCAGGTACGTCATTATTGTGTGGCGACGAAAGTGCACCGACGGGCATGCGGGCAGATAGTTCGACGCAAAGGTACTCGCCGTTTTCAACAATGACATCCTCAAACATGTCCTCATAGTCGTCGATGACGTAATAAATCAGTGGCCACGAACACTCGGGGGGGCCGATGTCGTCCTTGGGCCCGTCGACCCGGGAACGGTTGGGTAGGGCGTACACGCGCTTACTAATCTGCTTCCTCACAACCGTGCGGGGAGATCCACCGCCGGGGTGGCGGGGTGCCTGGCGGCGGCAGACGGCGACTGTCAGCTTGCACGGCATCTGGACGATGAGATTAAGGAAGAAGGTTTCCTTCCACATGATGGGGCAGGGCAGAGGGGGTAAGATGTTAGGTGGTGGCTGTTTCCTCAATACAAAGACAGGGTCGAGGCTCGATGCGATGGTGCCGGCGACGCTCTGCTTTTCGAAACTGGAGCCCTTGGTTTTGTCGCTAGTACCGCCGCTGCTGCTACAGCCGCTGTCAGACACCAAGGATGACGACGATGACGAGGTGGTGGTGGTGGTGGATCGGTATGCGTTGGCAGACTGCGACATGGGACGGACAAAGAACAGCATGTCGTCGTGATTAGTGTCGACGTCATTAATGAAGAAGCGGTGCATAAAGGCCTTCCAGCGAGGATCATCGGCATCATCGTCGCCGTAAAATGCAACAGCAAGCTGCTGTTGTGGAGACGACTTATCGCCTCCTAGGGGAGAGGGTAAGATGGGAAGGTTTAGGTGGTCTCTGGCGCCGCGGGTAGTAGCACAGGCGTTGCCGTGGCCGCCATGGGATGTTGCTGGACGGGAGGGGGGTGCGGATCGAGTGGCAGAGCTAGTGGGGGCGGGGTTAGAGGAGGACAGCAGGCCGAGTCGGCGGATGGACGACGCAGACACGGGAGGGCCCTTCATACCCTCTTGAAAGAGCGAATCAAGGATGGTGGGTAGGTCGTTCATGCTTGCATGCTGGGAAGCCTCAGCGGGAAGGGTAGTGGGAAGGATACTCCTACCACCGTCCCCGCTGTTGTTGTTACCGTTGCTGTTCGCAACGGGTCGGGCGCCACCATTTCCACTGAGGGAGGGGGAATGGTTGGCAGAGGACGGGTGTCGGTGTATGGCGGTAATCGTGACTGACCGATGTTAGACGACGCGAGGACGTCGTCAAAGAGCGGCGCTGCGTGCGTATATGTGTGTGCGTGTGGGGAGGAGTAAGTGCGGCTTGCACAGGAGCACTGACTGCAGGGCGACAATAGAGGGTGGTAGGGAGAAGTAGTGACTATGGCCGGCAGAAGGATAATCCAACACCACAAACAGCAGTAGCAGCAGCAGCAGCTCAAGGACGGGGCGACGTTAGGGCGCGAGAGCCAGGGATACCACCAGCACTACTGCGCAAAGCTTCCAGCGGGTTTGACGGCGTGGTATGCGGAGGGTTCTGGAATAATGGGTGTAAAGGTGTAGGTAAGGAAGGGAGAAGAGGTCAAAGAGATCTGGCGAATAGAAAGTATACGAACAGGAAAGTGGGGAGTAGAGGTCTCAGTGCGTGCGCACCCACGTACGTAGAAGCAGCAGCGAGAATGAGACGTGAAGAAGAGGGACAGAAAGAGAATGAGTCTCAGAATAATTCGGGAGGAAGGACGGAAGAAGCAAACGAGAGGCGGCTACCGGTGATACAGAAGAAAATGCGAAGGGAAGTTATAAGTGGCGCGCACACACGAGAGAAATGCGCAGACGACAAATTTCGAGGAGCGCAGAGGTGGGGTGCGTATATATACACACAGGGCCTATATGCTAGGAGAGTAGTATAATGCGCGGTCTGCCCTGTCGTCTGGATTCGATGCAGGCGTGACAATAGCAACAACAGCAGAAGCAGCAGCAGCAGCAGCAGCAGCAGGTTAAGACTAAGGCAAAACTATGCATATGCGTGCGCGTATACGCTGGCACACAGAGTAGGCCACACTCGCTACCTGCCAACAAACACTAAGGGTCTGTGGCTGAGAAATAACTACTCAGTAAGGCAGAGTGGATAATAAGGGCCGCGCAAAGTCATCAGCCAAAGAGTCATGGACGTGGAGGGAAGAAGGGCACATAGACGACACTACTACCTTGCAGTTACTGCAGCTGCTGCCTCTGCCTGTTCTCAGCGGTAGGGCAGGTGGTTTTCACTATGATGCAACAGACGGGGCAGCACGTAATGGGCAAAGCTAATGCGAGCATGTTATGCATCTGCTAGCGCCCTGCCATGTACGGACACATATCGCTGTCTCACAGACACACCTCCCCCCTCCTGTTCCCCACATATGCATCACAAGTAACTCGCGCCATCCGCTAATCCTACTACACACACATACATGTACACACACAGAGAGAAAGTTGGTACGCCATACACAACAGAGATTGCTGACTAGAAAACCTGTTCACCCACAGTGCACCTCGCCCGCTAGCCACAATATCGTGACGCGGCAGCTAGCAGTATCTGTGTTTGCGACGATACAACCGCCCAGACAGCCAGCCGCGCCTTCGGGTCGTTCTTAGCAGGAGTAACACAATCAGCACCATATGCACGCATGATATTGCGTTCTTGTGTTGAGAGATATACGCACTCCCAGTCTCCCTACGCGCGAGATCTGCACGAGTTTCGACTATGGCGATCAATAGGGTCACATACCGCCTCTCTCATCCCTTGAATTGTCAAACAGCCTGTAACGTGCTCACTACGCAATTGTGTGAGACTACCTGCTATCAACCATATAATAAAAACTAATTTCCAATGCTTGCGCGCAAGTTCTCACCACATTCTGGTGGCAAGGTAGCACGACCCTTACGCGAACCAAGCACTACACCACCCAATTCTCCCCAAAAAATAAATCTACGCCACCGGAAACCAACCAGTTGCACTGGAAAAAATGTTTCGGCCGAGGATCGAACTCGGGACCTCTTGTGGACCCACAAGGTAAATGTGAGACAAGCGTGATAGCCACTACACCACCGAAACCATACCATTATTGCCAAACTCGGCAAAATAGTGATATTTGAAATTTCTTGACATGATCTCTTAGCATTGTTTCCAAAGGATGGGCACTCCACTAGCAAATACTGCAGGAACAACCGCCACAGATACGTTGGTTTCAGGATCTGCCCATTCCAAGTTCATGGCTGGGAGACTGGGTATCTGGACAATATAAAGGAATTGGGAAGGTTGGTAAGGTAAGGTTAGGGTTAGTACAGCCAATATCTCGCTATTATGGCGATTCGGTGTGTGTGAGAGAGAGTTAAATGACAAGAACGGATGGGAAAGCGGCGTGCAATATATGGAGGAATTAGGCTGAAAATCCCTAATGGATACGCTGCTATGGATATAGCTTTAGTCTAAGAAAGTTGCACAACGAGGGCGTATCTGTCATAGATAGACAGGCGATCAAATCACGAATGGATTAGCGAAGTAAGTTCAAGGAGCCAATGTGAATGAAGGGCTTATTTACACACACAGACATACACGCACAGTTGGACAAACTTGGATACATTTCCGTTCAATGGGATTGCGCCGCTACAATAGCTGGCGGCAGGTTATAAAGAGAGAGAGAGAGAGAGAGAGAGAGAGAGAGAGCTGCACGTTTGACAGTGGAGAAAGGTCTGACATCAGGTATGATTGTCTTGGATCTGTATGAAGGTGTGTGCCTGTCCTGGTTTTTGCAGAGAGCTCTGGGTTATAGCCATACTTCGTGTGTATATATATATATATATATATATATGTGTTAGCTGCTGCTATTGTTACTATGACCTGAGTTTTCCTATGCTGTGGTCTGCAGCTCTGTTAGCCTCTTCCCTCCTCCTCTTACGCCCTTCCGTACAAGGGCTGCTAGCCACCAACTTACCAAAATGGTGGGCTGCTAATAGAGAGGTAAGGAAGTGACGAGTGGCAAGCTGCGTTCTGGCCAGGTCATGCACCCGCATTGACATATGCGCGCCCACACCAGGCGTGATACTGGCAAGATTGTCCTCCAGATGCTATTTTTAACCTGGCCCGGGAACCCTGCCGCGCATTAATCAGACCTTGCCTTGCCCCAACACATAACCTCTACTTCGTAGGTGCTGCTTTGGTTCGGTTTGTTCTTTATGGTTTAACCCGTTGATCTCGCTTATCACCTCCCCCAGTTCCTTGCCTATCGGCCTGCTGCTCTAATCTAACCGCTACAATTGTTCTACATCTCTCCTCTCTCGGTTAAGCCTTGTACTCTTCTTGCCTTTACCCCTCTTGCCAACTAGTCGTATTAGTAGTAATTTTCCTTCCTAATTCCAATCGTGCTATATTCGCCCCTCATCTCTCTCACCTTTACAACATATCTCCCAAGGTGCGGCCTTGCGGTTTACCCCGCCCCCCCCTCGAATATCACCGCCGCCCCTCCCTTTAGATCTAAAGTAAGTAGCTTACCTCGCAACCCCACCGATGTCTATAGCATCTCAGAATGCCCACACTGCACGCCAACCAGCGCATATCTGCTCGGATTGTTGCGTGTGCGCGGGTGGCTTTCTCACTGCCCAGCTATGCGCACATAACTCGCCCTATTTTGTCATTTGCACACTGCCTGCTGAGCTGGCGGTCGGTTTTTATTGTCCTCCACATACTGACCGCTTTCTAACCAGAGAGGGCACAATGCACTCGCTGTGCGCTCCCGTATGTGCGTGCACGCGCGCGCCGCGGCCTGCTCTGCTACTGCCATTATCATTATTATTGTTATTGCCACCTTTGCCCTAGCCACAGTGCTTCTCTCAACCCACTTGCCCTCCCTTCTTTGTCCTTTCTCCCTCCCCATCTTCTATCGCCTGGCCCCGCCCCCTCCTTCCTCTCCGACTTTTGTTCCCTTCCTTTCCTTTCCTTCCTACTACTGTCTCCCGCGACGGTCACTTGTTTTGCTTTGGTTGAATATCCCAGTCGTCTGAAGCTAACGCATCTCCTTGCATCTTTACCTTTGCGTGTGTTGCTTTCCTATTTTTACGTGTTTGCACGTGTGCATAGCTCGACATCTACCACAAAGCCTTGCTCCTTGCAGTCTTCTAGGGCTTGCGCGCCCCACTCACCTCCTCCACCATGCCAAATTCTCCGTCAGAATTAAGTAGAAAGAGCTGGGTTCAGCCCTACAACAATAACTACTCCGTTCCAACCATGAATGAATTCCACGCTGGCGACGAGCAACAGCGGTTGGGTGACTCGTACAATGCCAACTATTCGCAATCCCCCTCTGCCGCCGCCGCCGCCGCCACTAGTTCGAATCAAAACAACACCTCTCGGGTGCCCCCCTCCTCTACTACCGTCGCTGGGAACGATGATGGCACCAAGAGCCGCGGCTTTTTCGGTTGGAGCAAGAAGCAGCAGAAGCAGCAGCAACAGCTTCCCTCGGAAAAACCCAGCTTCAACGAGAGCGCCGGCGCCTCCCCTGCTCTGGACGAAAAACCAAAGCATGAAACTGTTGAGGAAATCGCTATCACCAAGACACGCCGCGTCTGGGAAGCCATCACCTGGTTTTTCACCTGGTGGATTCCCACCCCGCTGCTCTCCTCCCTGGGCCGCATGAAACGTCCTGACGTCCGCATGGCCTGGCGCGAGAAGGTCGCCATCTGCATCATCATCGTCTTCATATGGGCCATCCTGCTCTTCATCATCGTCGGCCTCGGCCTTGTGCTCTGTCCCCGCCAGCACGCCTGGGGCATCGGCGAGCTGGGCGACCACAACTCCGAGAAGGACGCCTACATCGCTCTCAACGGCACCGTCTACGACATCACCGACTTTATCAAGACCAACCATGGCCGGGATGTCACCATCACTAACTGGCTGACCATGGGTTCTATGACTGGCAAGAATGTCAACAACTCATTCCAAATCTCCCTCGGCGACGCCTGCCCCGGGACCGGCAACGATGACGACCAGGGCTTCCTGACCACCCTCCGTCGCGATCCTGATGACACTGACCCCGATATCAACACCGACCACGTCTACCGCCCCAACGTCTCCAATGACCTTGGCAACAAACACTTCTACACCCGCGTCGCCATCCCCGCCCTCAAGTCCTACAGAAAGGGCGACCTCGTCTGGGAGAGGAAGCTTATCGAGTACATGCATAAGGATGTCGGCAAGGCCTACCGCATTATTGGCAAAAATGTTTACAACTTCAACGATTATGTCTACACTATGAGCCTCGATGCCCTCAGCCAGAATGACCGCTACAAGATCCTTCCTGACATCGCTCTCAAGATGCTCCAGAACGTCGGCGGCTTCTACACTGACATCACTGAATATTGGAACCCTACCCACCTTAATGTCTCCCGGAGACAGTTCAACGTTATCAATAACTGCATTAACAATCTCTTCTACCTCGGCAAGGTTGACGAGCGCCGGAGCGTTCGCTGTCTCTTCTCCAACTATATGCTTCTCGCCTTCGCCTGCGTTCTGATGCTTGTCGTTCTGTCCAAGTTCATCGCCGCCTTGCAGTTTGGCACTAAGAAGCGCCCCCTCCCGCCCCAGAAGCATGTCCTGTGCCAGGTGCCCTGCTATACTGAAAACGATGAGAGCCTCGAGGTTACTCTCAGCTCTCTCGCCGCCCTCGACTACAACGACAAATGCAAGCTGATCTTTGTCATTTGCGACGGCAATATCATCGGCAGCGGCAACGACCGCCCGACACCGCGCATCGTTCTCGACATCCTGGGCGTCGACCCCGAGTATGACCCCCCAGCTCGTGACTACCTCGCCATCGCCGAGGGCTCGCGCCGCCACAATCGTGCCAAGGTGTACTCTGGCCTGTACGAATTTGAGGGCCACGTCGTGCCTTTCCTCGTCGTCGCCAAAGTCGGTACTCCTGAGGAGATGTCCCGCGCCGGCAACCGCGGCAAGCGTGACTCACAGATCATTCTCATGCAGTTCCTCAACAAAGTCCACTTTGATCTTCCCATGACCCCGCTCGAGCTCGAGATCTACCACCAGATGCGCCACATAATTGGCATCCCTCCCCAGATGTTTGAGTTTATCCTGCAGATCGACGCCGACACGCGCGTCGTAGAGGACTCGCTGTCGCGCCTGGTTGCCGCGTGTACTGACGACTCGCGCATTGCTGGCATCTGCGGCGAGACGATGCTCGGCAACGAGAACAGGTCGTGGACGACCATGATCCAGGTCTATGAGTACTTCATCTCGCACCATATGGCAAAGGCGTTCGAGTCGCTGTTCGGTTCGGTGACTTGCCTTCCCGGCTGCTTCTGTATGTACCGCATCCGAAACAAGCAGGGCAAGCCTTTAGTCATCGCGAGCCCGGTAGTCGAGGCATACTCGGAGCTCCACGTCGACACGCTGCACAAGAAGAACCTCCTGTCGCTGGGTGAAGACCGGTACCTGACCACGCTGATGATGAAGTACTTCCCAACGAGCAAGCTCAAGTTTATTCGCGACGCCAAAGCCTACACTATCGCCCCAGAGAAATGGTCCGTGCTACTCTCGCAGCGCCGCCGCTGGATCAACTCGACCATCCACAACCTCGTCGAGCTGATGTCTCTCCCCGACATGTGCGGTTTTTGCTGCTTCTCGATGCGCTTCGTGGTGTTCCTTGACCTGTTTGGTACCATCACCATGCCCGCGACTCTGATATACTTTGTTATCCTGATCTACATCGCAGTCAGCGACGTCGCCGATGTCGGATACATCTCGCTTATTCTCATCGGTGCCATCTACGGTGTACAAGCAGTCATTTTCCTCCTCCGCCGCGAATGGCAACATATCGGATGGATGATTATCTACTTGATTGCCTTCCCGCTGTGGTCGTTTATCCTGCCCATCTACTCATTCTGGCACTTTGACGACTTTTCGTGGGGCAACACACGTGTAGTCGTGGGTGAGGGCAAGCGCAAGGTCGTCATCTCCGACGACAAAGAATTTGACCCGGATTCCATCCCCCAGCGACGCTGGCACGAATACGAGCAGGAGCTGGCCATGCTGGGTCTGCTCAA